TATACGATTCACCCAAACCAAAACAGATACCGCCTAGTCTATAGAAAGAGATGCTGCTTGATTTTTAATAGTTAATTACAGCCCCCCAAAAAATCATTCTGTGAACTTACAAACCAATTTTAATAATGCAAAATTGAAGCCGTCTTAAAATTATGAATTCAAATTGAACAAAGCACATTTCTGAAACAACTACTTGGCTAGCGAGCTCGATCATTAACGTCGTTTTACAACGCACTTCATTATTCAAGAAGATTTTATATTTTAAATATCATACCTTCCTCTTTCGCCCACTCTTTCTGTTTTTCATCGTTCCTCATTCGACATCACCCATAAAAGTGCCATTAGACACGCTCGCTTTGTTATTGCCAACGTTACTCATACCCCAAAGGTCACGAAGCGGATAATTAAAAAAATGACGTTACCGATCTGCGAGTCATAAGCGATCGCGGATCTAATACTGAAATGCATGGAAGATTGCGAAACCGCATTTCTTGCAGCCAGAGCCTGCTCCTATATTTCTCATTGTGTTCGATGCAATAATATATGCGTGAGAATGTAATTGAAATGACACACAGCCATAGGAATACTGCTATAACTGGGTATATGTGAATCGAATCTATAAATCAGGCTCTCATGATAACAATCAACGGTGAAAATTTTAAATTGTAACCTTTGTACCATTAGCGAACCTGGAGATTTATTTTTAACGGGGGTCTTCGTAAAAGAAGACGATTGTTGAATATGTTCATATTTACCTACACACAGAAATTACCTTGAAAAAATATGACTGTATCGGAAATTAAATTTTAAATTGGGCTTCTTGTTCTTTAAACTCTATCCAGAATGGCGAACATGGCCAAAAAAATTCGCAAAGTTGCAAAAACTGTTTTTATTAAATAACTAAAAAACTACAGCTTCCATCGAAATATTTTAAATGAGAAAGTTGTAGGTGTTAAAAAGATCTATCGACTGATTTTCTGTGAATATCGATTGCTTTATTAGGTATACTTTTCGAGATATATATTTTTATTCTGGAATAGTAGGAAATCGCATTTTTTGCGTTTTCAGCTGATTCAAGGCCTGGAATTAGTTTTTCCTAACCCTAATGAGCATAATATGCCTGCTGGTGATGTTTGGTTCCAACAAGATGGTGCCCCTTCATATTTTCGCCTCGATGTAAGAAATTACCTTAATGAAGTTTTCCAAAGTCGATGGATAGGCAGAATAGTACCCCCTGACTTTTTTTTTGTGGGTTTATCTAAAAAGCAAAGTGTATGTGAGTTTTTCAATCTAGAAACTGAGGCCTTTGTTTATATTTTTATTACTCTATTCTAAAGGTTTTAAGCTAATTCAAAAAAACTTTAAAATTATTTTGACCTCATTTAATAAGATTTTTAAAAAATTAATGTGTTTGAAGTAGCTTACCTTAGGTAGGTACTTTAAAAAAAATATGGGGGCTACTAATAAAGTATACGTTTTTCTATATTTATCTATTTAGTAAATTCTGATCAAAACAAGTAAAATATTCCGCAGCCTGTAATTCCAACAGCGATTTTTTTTAGAAATTACAGTTTTCTATTCTCCTAAAATATTTCAATCTTGCACAGAACGCTCATTGCATTAATCAGTTGCCCAAGCTATTTTAGTTTTCACTTGTTCTTGTCGCATAGAAATAGTTATTTACCAAAGTGGAGAAACACTTAACTTTACATATAGGTACTGCACCAAACTTTTCTAACCCAGATTGGAATAGAAAATTAGAGAAAGTACCATAAAAATTGATAACATAAGTGTATTTTAGAGATGAAAAATTGTTACTGTTCATCCTTCATCATCACTACAAGTTTCGCAAAGCTTTTTTAGCAGTCTTATGACAACTTCTTGTATTTGCTAAAATATTAGGTACTTATAATCCAATTTAGTGTTACAATTTTCTACATTAAATATCGCGAAACCTATCCTTACTCATTTATTATTTATAGTTTATTGTAAGTAAAAGTTGCGCAAACGTTGACAGTTATAATTAAAGAAATAACATGATAAACTCGGTGTTTTACTCAATTAATGTCTTTTTAATAATCTGTACTTTCAATACACCTGCAAAAGGCGTTATTTTTTCCTCGAACGCGTTTTCTAATTTTCTCTTACGCATTTTAGCAGCTATTAAATTATTAATTAATAATGTTAAAAGCAAATTAAAGAAAAATGTTTTACTAATTATTATTTTAATTTGTCCAAGTACTGCAATTATGTTATTTTTTACTTATTGTTTATGTAATAATAACACACATTTATATATTCGTGAATTCATTTACTTTTTAGGCCTGTTGATGGAAAAAAGAATTTCTGCGATACTTTAACTTTTACGACTGTATATTTAAATGATTGTACCCTTAATAACAAAAGTGAGAAATAAACAAGATTACTTTGTTACAAGGAAGTGTTCGGCCTTGTAAAACTTAAGCAAGCTATTACATCAAAATATGAGCTATGTCAATTTTCTCCCGTTATGATTCACGCCATATGTCAATCTTTAACAATTTGTAACGGATGTTGGATGACTGTAGCACTTTCTTATAAATGAGGCACTTTGCATAGGATAATTTATAAAAATGAATATCAAATACATTATTTATAATTGTAATTTGCATTTTATATTGTACTAAATAGAATTTGGAAGAAAATGAGTTAGTTTCAAAATTTTTTTTTTTATTGAAATGACTTCTTGAAAGTTAAGTTCACTGATACAAATCAGAAACAATACCGTTTTCGGCAATAGAAATATGAACTGGTTCAACCGTTCGACATATTCCACTTTTGTTACAACAGTACAAGAATGTTTTTCGTAATGTTATAGCTTTCGTAACTAGGTACATATACCCATTTTCCGTTTCAAATATGACCCACATTCCTTGATGGGTAATTATTATGGTATAAGTACCTATTCATCGTACAATAGAATTAACTGTAAAACAATTTTATGAACCAAAATCCAATACTTTATTAAAATAACGTTACACATAAAGAACATATGATTAATTTGTAACCGTAGATAGACAATATTGATTAACAGATAAGATAAAATGGGTTAATAAGACCCCATTTAACCATTCTCTTTACAGCTATTCCAAAATGCGGGGGAGCTTCATCTAGTCGCATCCAACTTTCATGTTTTAAGTATATCCTCGATGTAGTCCTACAGGCTATTAGTAAGAAATTCATATTGAATTTCTCTAGTGTGCCCACAAATGGACATTGTGGTAATTCGTTCCACGTCTACTGAAGGAGGAATCATCCGTCCACAGAATTTTGTGCAAAAAGTCAGGATTTTCTTCCGTCGAGATTAAAAGTCACTGATGCATGGCTATACAGGGTGTTTCGGGATTAAGTCGACAAACTTTAAGGTGATATTCCTCATAAAAAAAAAAATAAGATAAAAATCAAGTATAATTTTTTTTCCAGAGACGCTTCATTTTCGAAATATAGGGCGTTAAAGATTTTTAAAAAAATTCGAATTTTTTGAATAACTTCTAAATGAAGAAGGCTATTTAAGCAAAATTTGGCATGACACATCTTCTTATAAGATACCATTTTTCCATAGAAGTAGAAGTCCCGCAAGCAACCAGTGGCAGAGTTATGGGGACTCAGACTCATTAAATTATAAAAAAAATTAATACGGCCCTACTGAAAATAAAAGATGATGCTGTTTTTAGATAGAACAGTTTGTTATTGACAAAAAGTGTACATTCACTTTTTTCCTAACTCATAGTTTCATGGCAAAATTGCGATTTTTCGGAAGAGTGCGTCTGGATTCTGTCTATAAACTTTAGGAATGGTATCTTATAAGAAGATGTGTCATGCCAAATTTGACATTTAGAAGTTATTTAAAAAATTCGATTTTTTTTTAAAATCTTTAACGCCCTATATTTCGAAAATGAACCGTCTCTAGAAAAAATTTATACTTGATTTTTTTCTTATTTTTATATAAGGAATATCTCCTTAAAGTTTGTCGACTTAATCCTGAAACACCCTGTATAACAAACAACAATGTTTCCAATATTTAAATAAACAATTTTCTGTCAAGCTGTTTTTTATTAACAGTTACATTTCATGTGGTAAAGTGCCACTTTAATCAATGATTTTGAATTTAGTAAATTATATTATCAGTGAATTCATTTGTTTTTTATCTGTTCATCTCTTATTTTGTATCATTGTTTTTATCCATGTTTTATTCTATATTCGAACTAAGAAGTTATTTTTCCAAAGATTGATTTCATCTTTCTTTACATAGATTTTATTGGTCGTTATTCATATTCCCGTATTGACCTTCAATTCCGTCCCAGCATTGTTAACTTGTAACATTGTCTTGATATTAATGAATCTTAGTAAACACGTTCCAAAAAAGCCGCATCTTTCTTACTGATATTATTTTTAAACGTGTATAAACAAATTTGTGAATTTGTCGAGTTTTAGTACTTCTGTTGATTACTCATATGATGATTAACATTCACTGGACCTTTCTCTAAACCCAAAATTCTCTTTGACTGAAGTCATCCTCAAATGCAACCCTAGACATGTTTGCAGTTAAACCTGTTTCTTACCAAGAGCCGGCGTTAATATTTCTTCAACAATTAAAACAGTAAAAAGTATAGTTATTTACATTCCATTTGATTGCTACAGGAGAAAACATGGCTTAATTTAATAATTAAATTGACTAGAGTTGAGCCTTAATTAAACATATATTATATAATGGATTTCGTAACATTCCAATCTAATGCTTTTAAACAGAACACTTTTTGTGGAGAAGTGATCGAATTTAAAAAAGATATATCGTGTATAAATTAATTAAGACCACGCTGAAAAATAATTACTCACACAAATATCTAAATTAATCTAGACGTTTTTACCTCTCTCTGTTAAAACCTAATTACTTTTAACAGTTCAGTAAAATTAGAACTTCGAGAAAGGCCGACTTATACAACATTTTTTTTTTGTTTCAGGTGATAGTTAGCAAGAAGCCATGGTGCGCAGTCGTACACCCTCACAAGGGGGTGGCTCGCAGGGGTTCGAGATGGAAAGGAAATATTCGGTACCCTCCAATCCAGAGTCTCGAGCTTTTTCTGGCGGTACCGCTAGTGAGGATTTGCACGCCTGGTCCATATACAGGTAAATATTTAGTTTTCAAAATTTGAATCCTTGAATATAAAACATTTCCCAATCCATTGTCACTAAAAAAGCGTCGATTAAAAGTAAATTAACTAATTATAGAAAGACAATTATAAAGTGAATTAAGGCTTCCAGAAATTCGTTATTGGAAAGATAGGTAAAAAGTTAATGATTGCTGCTGTGCCGTTTTCATTGTCGTTCTTTGTGTAATTTTGCAATTCTTAATTGGCTGTTGCATTTGTAATTCCCAGAAAAATCGTTTTATTGGCTATTCGTCCAACAATTAAACTTGCTTACAGATACAGAGTAGCACGCGTAATCACCAGTAGGTACGTATCTTTAAATGAGAATAAGAAAAAATGTATGAATCTTATTATTATGGTTCAATGACGTTGCAGACGTTTAATAATGGTCTTTCTGGTGCAATATCTTGGTATTATTTAAGGGTGACGTTGTTGATGAATCATTCTACAAGGTGAATGTTAATTGTGTACATATATTAATATTGGTACGTAGATACGCTACTAATAGTCAAAATAATTTGTCATTTTTTCAAAACTTATTTATGATTTCATTAAATGCTTGCCTTCACTTTCCGAGCTCATTTTGAATTAAACACTCTTAGAATACGAATTACAATATACAGGGTGGCCAAATAAAAACGAAACAGTGCCATTTTCAGGAACTGCGTTAAGATTGTAGAAAAACGCACAGACCTGTCGATTTTAGATTAAAGGGGGACATTCTTTGCTGGTATTTTTGACTCCGCCACTTTCACCCCCAAGCAAGGGTAAGCATCACCCCAAAATATTTAAATGGCATTGGGGGTTGAGTAATATTTCTTTTGAAAGCTCTTACAATTCTCTTTACAACAGACTTTAAATTTTATAATTCCGCCCAATACTTATTAAGAATTTTGATTTTAAAGTTGAAACTTATGTACAAACAATTAGTAACGGTAAAAATGTCAGTCATTCGAGTTAAGTACGCCAATGGTATAAATTTAGTATTTCTTGCGTTACATTGGTTTTTGGCGATTTGTTATCACTTTCGTAAAAAAAAACAAAATTGTAAAAAACAGAAATGAATGCTATACACACACAATGAACGTAAAATTAGTGGATTCCAAATTATTTTCTAGTATTATTTGGAAGCGTTGGTTGGTAGTTTATTTAATTGTGTTTTTGAAAATTAAACACTATGGTTTATTCCATTGCGGAAAGGGTAGATATCATTTCGCTTTACTTTATGAACAATAAATGTGCGAATAGAACAGCTCAGCTATTTAATGAACAACATCAAGATCGACATGTCAGGAGGAAGTATGTTCTAGAGTTAGTAAAAAAATTTCAAGAGACAGGGAACGTAGCCAATAAAAAACGAGAAATTGAAAAACCTATAGTTAATGAAGCTAGTGAAGTTGCAGTTTTGGGACAAGTTCATCTTGATCCTACATTAAGTACGAGGCAGCTGGCATCTGTGTCTGGGATCAATCGAACTAGCATACAAACCATTTTGAAGAAGAATAAATTCCATCCATACAAAATACATTTAGTCCAGGAACTTCATGAGGATGATTATGACCGCCGTTTGCAATTTTGCGAAATAATGAGTGAGCGAGCAGGGAACGATCCACAGTTCCTTTTTAACATCTGTTTTTCTGATGAATGCAGTTTTTTCTTGAACGGGACGGTAAATCGTCACAATTGCCGCTATTGGTCCGATTCAAACCCAAGAGTTTTTCACGAGGTGCATACACAGCAACCGGAAAAATTAAATGTATGGGCTGGAATTTTCGGTGACCGGCTGGTGGGTCCTTTTTTTCTACCTGGTAATTTGACTGGCCAAATGTATTTGCAATTACTGGAAGACGCTATTGACCCTGCCTTGACTGATATTATTGAAAATGTTCCAGAGTATGATGAAGATCATTTGATTTTTCAACAGGACGGTGCTCCTCCGCATTATGCGTTAATTGTCCGTCAGTATTTGGACCAACGTTTTCTACGGAATTGGATTGGGAGAAGAGGCAGCATTGAGTGGCCTCCACGATCACCGGATTTATCGCCCCTTGATTTCTTTTTGTGGGGATACCTAAAAAGTAAAATCTATAAAACACAGCCAGCGTCGCTGGAAGATTTGCGTCAAAGAATCGTCGACGAATGCCGTCGAATCACTCCGGAAATGCTTCGGAATGTGCGCGAACGTTTCGAACAAAATCTTTATTCTTGTATGGAAGCGGGCGGTCATCAGTTTGAACATTTAATCAACTAAGTAGTAAGTAAGCAACTAAACATAATTTAAATTTTAAAATGTAAATTTTTTTCAAAGTATTGGGCGGAATTATAAAATTTAAAGTCTGTTGTAAAGAGAATTGTAAGAGCTTTCAAAAGAAATATTACTCAACCCCCAATGCCATTTAAATATTTTGGGGTGATGCTTACCCTTGCTTGGGGGTGAAAGAGGCGGAGTCAAAAATACCAGCAAAGAATGTCCCCCTTTAATCTAAAATCGACGGGTCTGAGCGTTTTTCTACAATCTTGACGCAGTTCCTGAAAATGGCTGTTTCGTTTTCATTTGGCCACCCTGCATAATTCTGACACTACTCTTTCAAACAACTAATTTTTATTATTTATTAGGTTGCTATCGTTGATAGTCTTGATTCAAACATGATTCAAACGATTTCAAATATAACAGAATTGTCTTATTTTATAGCAGTTTTCGAAAAAATAGTGTTTGCATCTCTATCGCGAAATGCTTTTGCGTTCTCGAATGGATATTTTGCCTCGCTAAAAAATTACTTTCAGTGCCATTTCGCGTTCTAGATACAAAAATAACCATATACGAGGGATTATGAGAAAACAAATTTATGATACGCGTTTCTAAAAGTCTAAGGCCTCCATATAAATATGTACCTACTCAAAGTTACACCCTGTAAGTATACGTAAATATTTAGCGCATAAGAACCTGCTCATGTTGAACTTGACCCAGGAAACAAGTGAAACAGGTTATGATAAATCTTGTGTGTGAGACTCAAAGCTATTAGTGACAAACTTCTGAAAAGTTGCCAAAAAAATGATTCTAAAACTTCATAGTTCTTTTTCCCCCGACGTAAAACTGTATCAGTCCAACATTTTGTTTGATTTTCTGAAAGTTGTAACATTGGAAATCAAATTTGGCTTTTACCCCGCGCAAAATCTTGTTACCGCCTAAACATACTAACGCTGATTTTATAAGCTACGCTATCATATTAATACAGGTGCAGTCAATTTCGCAATACATCGCCTACACGATAAACGAATATTTGTTGGTGCCGCAATTAAAGTAATCCTCAGGGGAAATTGCGGGTTCTGTTGCTAAACGACGAATAAACGCGCGAATGCGAAATATGAATATAAACAGTAAGTTGGCATTAATGTTTTTATTTAGAGCTTGTTTCATAATGAAATGGAAAGCGTGTCTATGAGCATTAATCAAACAAAGTGATAATATCGGTCAATGTTAAATTTCAAAACTGCCCTGAGATAAACAGTTTTATTTAAGAAATATTCTCGGCTTTAATCAGTTAATTTGCTTATAACGTTAATGAATTGTGCAATTTCGGCGCATCACTCGGTAAGGCGAGACGAAATTCCTACTGATTATCTTTGATGATTAAATTTACAAATAAATAAAAACGTTTGTATTGATAACCTTGAGCAAAAGTTTATTTCATAGACTTAATAAATCTATACGAATGACATTTACTATCGAAATAAATTAAATATACCCCTGAGTTTGGAAAACGATATTAAGAAAACGTAGGGGCAAAAATATTTGAAATTTGGACCATATATAGCCTCACTATTACTCTATTGTGTGCTAAAATTTCAGTTAGTTTCGTTATCCCATTTTTTAGTTATTAATGAAAATGTTTTAATGTGAAAATTTTTTTGTTAATTGAAATAGAAATTCCAAATTTTTACTGATGATAAGTCGAACTATATTGCCTTTAGTACTGTGAATGTCACTTGTCTCAAAAGCTCTTCTTTTTTTATTATTTTTAAGCAAAACAGAAGGGAGTGCTATCTCCGTAAATATTACATTATTTTAAAAAAGAAAGAAACTTAGCCCAGTCATTATAGACATGAAAGAGCCTGTTTCGGGAAAAAGATACTATTAGAAGTTTCTCTGCGGAATATTATTCGGAAACCTGTTATAAATAAAATATCAAAAAAATCAACTCGAGGCTAGTTGGGAAACTTTGTTTAAATAATGGTCAAAGTTTTGGAAAAGTGGTTTTTTGACTCACGTAAAAAAACTATTATTCATAGCGAAAAAAAGTTTATACAAAAAAGGTAGGTATTGAATAAGCCTATAAAATGAGAAAAGTCCGATTAAATTCCGATAATTTGTTTATGCACAAGAGCTCAAAAATGGTCGAAAATTGCCGTTTTTTTCAATTGCTAATAATTAATGCAATTTTCATCCCAGACACTTGTAATTCAGGATTTTTTAGGCTTTTTACACCCTTAATAAGTGGTAAAAATTTCAGCCCGGAAGCTCCATTGGTTTGGCGTTGGGGGAATTTATTATCTAAGAAGATGCTATTTTCAATTCATTTTTCCCAAGCTCACAGGCGTTGTAGGGTTTCGATCATTAGTTGTTTTTGTACCTAAAAAATTGTATTGATATATGCATTTACTGAGAATTTAGTTTTTCAAATTTAATTTGTTTAAAAATTACTTTGAAAAAAATGTTAATATTTATAAAATTGTTAAAATAGGTAATTATTATAAAATAAAATAGTAACCTCTATACTTTAGTTTTCTTCGAATTAAAAAAAAAATCGTTGTTGTAAGTTGATTAGAAGCTGAGATATTTTTTTTTTTTTTATTTAATCGCAGTGACCTTAATTATTAATATTAAGAGCCGAAATTTGGAGAGAGTATACATTAAGAGCTATATTTTCATGTCCTACATTAACATTAAGGTGAATTCAACTATTTAATTGCGAAAAAGAAGATAGCGGCGATGCTATTAAATTAGAGGGTGGAAATTGAAGATAGGGATGAAAATGCACTTTTGCAGTTTTTTAACGAAAACGAAGCAAAATTTCGATATAGTTCATAGGAAAAATTTCTCATAGAAATGAATGAAAATTTTATGCAAAAAATCGTTAATAAACAATTTTAAAAAAGCAAGATAAGATTTTTTAAATTTTTTTTTACTTTTTTAACTCTAATTTATGTTAAAAACGACGAGAATCTAAAGAATATTTAAGTTTGACCTATAACTCAGTCAATATTAGTCCAAAAACTTTTGAAAACGCATCATTTTGAAGGGAATCTCATCTAGTTTTTTTTGTACAGCAATTTTCTTTGCCTACTTCTACTAAAAAATAAATTAGTCAAAAAAGTAAAAAAAAATCAAAAGATGTTATTATTTACTTTTTTAAAATTGTTTATCAACGATTTTTTGCATCAAATTTTTCTTTTAATTTTTTTTAATAAGTCATTTCGATGGGAAATTTAATTCTCTACAAAACTTTTCTTATGAACTATATCAAAATTTTGCTTCGTTTTAGTACTATATTTAAAATACTGTAAAAGTGCATTTTCACCCTTATCTTCAATTTCAATTTATTATTTCAACTTTTCATTTAAAGGACTTTTAGTACAAGTTGTGAAAGTCCTGCTACAAAAAACGCGGACACACCCTGTATAGTTAAAGTGAGAGGTATCAATTTTGTAGGTAAAAAAGTGTGATTTTTTCAACATTTTCATTAATGACTAAAAAATGGGATAACGAAACTAACTGAAATTTTAGCACACAATAAAGTAATAGCGAATGTATGGTCCAAATTTCAAATTTTTTTGCCCCTACCTTTTCTTAATATCGGTTTCCAAACTCAGAGGTCTATTTCATTTATTGCAATAGTAGTAAGCAAATATTTTAATTCATTTTATCTCCATACTATATACGTATTTAATTTTTTTAAAGTCAAGTCCATTCTAAAGCCAAAGTAAAGTCAAATCAAGCATTTTCCCTTCCAATAATTCATATGTCCAATGCATATATGACAATGTGCTTTTAAGAAGATGGAGTTTTTTTATTTAAGTTATAATTATATTATTTCACTAGTGACAAAAAAGAATATAGTCACCAATAAAACACCTACAAAACTGTAGCGGTTGCGCAAAAAAAGTTATTTCGACTGATTAGTTTGTGTTATTACGCCCTGGTTATTCCACAGTTAAAATAGAACAGATAGCATTTTAATATAGGTATCCATTTTAAGAAAAGACCCTACCGAAGATTATTATCTTCATTCACGACTCGTGTAAAGATGCCTTGATACGTGCCTTAACGTTCCTGCAAAAGTTACCAAAACATTCATAGTGATGTGAAACAGACGGTCAATTAGACGGCTGTATCGGGAGCAACATCTCGCAGTAATATCCGCCTCGACGTACCCTTTTGCAACAATTACGAATCGCTGTGTTTTGTTTCAGGCAAAATCTCAATTCGGATTTCACGGACAGCGCCCTAGGATCGACGGATAAGAGCCCGCTTCCTTATGGCAACTTCCAGTTGCGCGACACGACGGTGCAGTCAATCTTATCGCACCCGCGATATGGGCCCAAGTAAGTGTTGGTGTATTTGTTTAATTGTACGAGGAGTGTACCTAAAGCAAGAAATACTTTTTCAGTTCCAATAAATATAGAGTGTGCACATACTTGAGCCGCGAGTATATTTCGTGATCCACACATTACACTACACCTTATACATCACAGTATTATACAGGGTGACCCATTAATATTGCGAAAAAATAAGAAAGAAAGTTCCTATAAACCTACGTCCGAAAATGCTTCGTTTCGGGGATCCAGGCTGTCGAAATTTAGAGAAAATACAAGGTTTTTACTAATATCTGGAGAACCCTAATTCCGATTTTTTTGAAATTTGGTATGTTTGTTTATAAAAAAGGTAGACGTCTTCTGACGTAATTTGATTTATTTTATCTATTCCAGCGGCGTCCGGGGACTCACTCCTGTTGATATTAATAAGTAAACATATGAGACGTCACTACTTTTTCTTAGGTGTCACATTTTTTTCTAATTATATGATTAAAAATACAACTCTTTTGTCTCTTTACTTTTTTTTATATCTTGCTTCGTTTTTGAGCAGAAAATTAATATCCTTTCATATGCACATTCTTAAGGGAAGTAGAAAACAAAAATAGAAATTCAATGTTTTAGTTATTTACTAATCAAATTTACTACACATTTGAAGGAAAAACAATGTAACAAGCTGAGAAACAATAACTCACTAAATAATATTTTTTTAAATAATTAATATTAACAGGAACATAAGAAAAAATATTTAACAAACAGCAATGATATGAAAAATACTTTACATACACAGGCGTTACAACAGTTGTTGAAAATGTGCACCTTCAACCAGTGGCGGCTCGTCGGGGTGGGCAGGGTGGTCAGTGCCCACCCTGAAATTTTCAGAAGAATAAACAAAAATTTGTGCATATATTTATCAAAGTGATTTGACAATTCTTATAAAATTAAATCTAAAATGCGTTACCTCCTTTGAAACTCCCCCTACTAAATTTTAAAATTATATTTTAATCATGATCTCGGCAGCAACCAACATAACATTCGGGCTAGCCCGTGGCCGCTGAATTAAACAACGCCGTACCCCAACCATAACTTGCATGCTTATACGCACCTAGGACTAGACAGTAATCGGAAACGTAAGTCCATCACTAATTTAGAATATTTGGCCCAAGTCGGGCGAGCCCGCACACCGCACACAGCTCGCATATACCCATTGAGCACCCATCGAGTGTTGTATCGACCACCTAAGACTTTTCACCAATGGTTGGAAATATATATATACGTATATTTATTTGCTCTAATTTTGTTCTTTAAATGAATTTTTAAATATTAGAACAATTTTTCCCTGCAAAGGTATTCCAGAAAACAAATTTTAGTAAACGAAATAATAAACCGTTTTATAATAATTTGTAAATCGCGTAAAAAAATAAATATCTATGGTGCTATGTTGAATGTTCTTTGATAATTATAATTATTAAGGTTATTTTAACTCGTTACTGTTAAACTGAATTAAAAGTGATTGCTGAGAAATTTTCAATATTTGAATAGATTCTAGTTTGTAAACATGGGAGTGATGTAAATTATTTTTGGGATGATCTCGGCAGCAACCAACATAACATTCGGGCCAGCCCGTGGCCGCTGAATTAAACAACGCCGTACGTTGCCTGCTTATACGCAGGGCTAGGACTAGAGAGTAATCGGAAACGTAAGTCGTTCACTAATTTAGAATATCTAGCCCAAGTCGGGCGAGCCCGGACACAGCCCGCACCCGCATACTCATCGAGTGTTGTATCGGCCAGCTACGGCTTTTCGCCAGCCAGCCAGCAGCGGTTGGAAATATATGTATATTTATGTGCTGTAATTTTGTTCTTTAAATGAATTTTTGAACATTAGAACAATTTTTCCCTGCAAAGGTATTCCAGAAAACAAATATTAGTAAACGAAGTAATAAACCGTTTTATAATAATTTGTAAATCGCGTTAAAAAATAAATATCTATGATATGTTGAATGTTCTTTGACAATTATATTTATTAAGGTTATTTTGAAGCGTTACTGTTAAACTAAATTAAGAGTGATTGCTGAAAAATGTTCAATATTTTAATAGATTCGAGTTTGTAAATATGGAAGTGATATAAATTATTTTTTAGGACTTTTAAATTCGATACATATTTATTTATTTTTTCAAATAATAAACTGTTCGATTAAAAAAAATAGCTTCTATTTAATATATTTTTTTTATTTCAATCAGATTTTTAATAAATTATCATTTGAATATACATAATTACCTAAAATAACTCTACTCTCCGGGCAAGCCCTTCGACTTCACTCGTATATTCTTCGGGTACTTACGTGTAATCTGCGGTTTGATGTTAGTTTTATTTCATAGATTAGGAAGGTAGAGATTTGTTATTCCTTGTACTTCACGACTTGGTTGTTTGTAAGTTCTAGGTTAGGGTTAGTATAGTGGTTTAGGTAAGTTTTTAATGTTTAATAGTTTGGAGTAAAGCAAAATGGCAAGCCGAAAATAGCGAATTGGTGAGTAGCAATGGTGATATTATTAATTTTTTATTAAATAAAAAATTTTGTATGTTAACTTTCGATGATAAATTATTTATTTCAAAATTAAAACCTACGCCTGACATGAAAAATTTAATAAATAAAAACAATTGCGGAAGTAACAGATCATTTAGTAAAAATTGGTACAATAAATATGAGTGGTTAACAGGTAGTGAAACTAGAAACAAATTATATTGTTGGAATTGCTTACAGTTTAATGAAAAAAGTAAAACTCCATGGAATTATCTAGGATATTCAGATCTGAAACATATAAATGAATCTCTAAAAAAACACGAGCGATCGGAGGAGCATACATATTCAACATTAAAATTTAAATTATTAGGAAAACAAAACATTCAAACTTTTCTTGATTCTGCATTTCGTGAGAATATTTTAAACCATAATAAAGTCGTGGACGAAAATAGAGACATTGTAAAGCGCCTTATTGATTTGGTTATTTACTTATTTACTTATTTATTTATTTATTTATTTATTTATTTATTTACTTATTAGAATTTTAGTATAATTTATCGTTAGTAATTTCAGCTATAAAAGTGATAGAGAATTTTACTATTTGTTTAGAGAATTATATAATTTTTTATATGTCCTTCTATGCCATAATCCTTGCCTTATCCCCTATCCCGGCAAGAAATCACTGTGATGACATTCTCGTTTGTTCTTGCTGAACTATTAGGTATACTTTTGGAATAACTAATATAATTTTCAGGTATATTTATATTAACTATCTTCATAATTCTTAAGATTTTTACACTTTCAAAAGTAAATAGACTAACGTAGATTGCAATTATTATATGATATTAAGTTACATGAGAGAAAAAAAATTTTGCCCACCCATCTCAAAAAGTCACGAGCTGCACTGATAGAAGACTTCAGCGCATCATCCAAAGGTACATAGTTTCAACCACCAAATGAACCCAATACATTTATTCATATTAAATCAAAAGTAGAACAATCCAGTAGTCTTCATCATCAATATAATAATATAGATATACTGTTATAAATAAAAACCATATGACGCCTGTGAGTAAATGTTTGTCAAAAAGTTAATTTGTTGCATAATGAAAATAATTTAGCAGGTTCAAAACAAAATTTTCCTACTGATTTTTTTTTTCTAAGCGTGCTTCATTTTAAACGAAATTATTGGAAAAAACAAGCGTTTTTTATTCATAAATATGAACGAACAAATTTAGCTGAAACGAAAATATCTGGTTAAGCTCATAACCGTGCAGAATATTCTACATATTCATGCAGATTTAAAATAATTTACATTTTCTCTTACATAAAATCACCGCACGCAAGTATCGGTAATTGGCATGCTGCGAGGTTTATTATAAAAAATTTATATCAGGAAATATTTTAATAACGCACTGGAAAAGGCTTTCACCATCTGCTCGATGTTCCGCTATACGTTGTATGCAAATTAGTTGTGATAATAATGTTTTAACAGCAAGAAATTGTTTTAATTACACATGTGAAATGTAACATTATGGAACATAATAAGAGGATAGGAAAGGACCAAAACCAGCATTTATATGGTTGTATTTAGATAAGTTTATAGTCAGTGTCTACCACTACTTAATTACTTGTATGTTATGTAATACACTTTTCCAAGAAAACCAGGAAGTAGCTTTTCCATGGTGGAGTAATATACATTTTAGTTGACGTAAACAATAATTTTATAACACCATACATTTATCATCGAAATTGTTTAAGAAATACACATTCAACTAAATTGCTTATTGAACAAAAAATAAATAATGAAACTCTTATATTCTCAGCGAGAGAAGATAATGGCTAAAAATTTAATAAATTCACGTCTGTCATCCCCGTACAAAAAAATCTATACTCCTTTTAGGTTTCTTGTAGAAAGCTTTAAAAAAGAAAATCCGCTTATAGACTTTTAACGCCACCATATCGGCTTATTCCTTGATAAATTACTCCTAACTTTATACCCTTGACGCAAATTTTTTTGCAAAAAGTGTTTGTAGATACAAATAGTGGATTTTCGGCTTAAGCAAAGGTTTATTGCCTCCAACCGTCCGGCTGAAAAAAGCGAGAAACAGATTAAGGACACATTTGGAAGAAAGATTAAGGAAATATATGGTGCTACCAAAAATTCGTAAATTATTACTTTAATATGGTACTAATTTTTTCTTGTATACAAAATGGATACCCTTGATAAACAGTCATTTAATATTACCATATTTTTATATTGCGTATGCATTTAGTTACAAAAATTTGTTATTTCTGTCAGAACATTTTCTATTAAAGAATTTAAAAAGAAAATGTATTTAATTCAAATAATGTCACATTTAAACAATTCTGTCCTGGAATATATTTAAAACTAACGATTCCCAAGTGACGGTTTCCAACTAGCAGTTCCAAAGTAACTGTTATACGCATAGTTCCAAGAAACGGTTAAAGTCTAACAGTCCCACAAATTTCAAAGTAAAGGTTGCGAAGTTACTGTTCCGACGTCGCGAAGTAACGATTCGAAAGTAACGGTTCCCAGATAAAGGTTCCGAAGTAACGGCTCCGAAGCAACGGTTTCAAAGTAACTGTTCCAAAATAATGGTCTCAAAGCAACAGTTCCAAGTAACAGTTCCACAACAACGGTTCCAAGTATCAGTTGCAAATTAGAGGTAACTTTATAACCTTATTTTGGGTACTATCGACCCTGCCGTCTCTGAAGGGCCGCCACTGATGTCCTGAAAACTGACGCATTTTTAACTACAGGTGTAATACACCCTTTAACGTCATGAAATCAATGCTAGCAACCCATTCCAACTCTGTAGATAATATAACGTATCATTGAGTGCTGTTGTCCATAAATCAGTTTGTCGATCTAAAAAAATCCTCGCGGTGAATACTAACGAGCACTTTATTTCTATTTTCCGCGATGAACACTCCTCGTACAACGCACGCAGGGTCCTGTCGATGATAATGAAGCGGCAACTTGCTGTCTCGTCCTTTTTTTTAATTCTAGGTCGGCTCTCGGATCGAACATGTACACTTATTTGAAATTCGGCCTTCCCAGGGTGTTCCCTCCGAATCACAACGGGTCCAATCGCTCCGGCACGCCGCAGCATTTCACGAGGAACGCCTCCACGAGGCCCCACACCAGGTAACGTACCCATTCATAATTTAAAATGAATATTTCCTTTGCTCAACATTGTTTTATTTATCTAGCGGACACCATAGAATCTCCTAAATTATAAGAAATACAGAGTGGGATAAATCAATTGAAATAANCAGTTCCAAAGTAACTGTTACACGGATAGTTCCAAGAAACGGTTAAAGTCTAACAATCCCACAGAACAGTTTCAAAGTAAAGGTTGCGAAGTTACTGTTCCGACGTCGCGAAGTAACGATTCGAAAGTAACGGTTCCCAGATAAAGGTTCCGAAGTAACGGCTCCGAAGCAACGGTTTCAAAGTAACTGTTCCAAAATAACGGTTTCAAAGCAACAGTTCCAAGTAACAGTTCCACAACAACGGTTCCAAGTATCAGTTGCAAATTAGAGGTAACTTTATAACTTTATTTTGGGTACTGTCGACCCTGCCGTCTCTGAAGACTGCTGCCGCCACTGATGTCCTGAAAACTGACGCATAATTAACTACAGGTGCAATACACCCTTTAACGTCATGAAATCAATGCTAGCAACCCATTCCAACTCTGTAGATAATATAACGTATCATTGAGTGCTGTTGTCCATAAATCAGTTTGTCGATCTAAAAAAATCCTCGCGGTGAATACTAACGAGCACTTTATTTCTATTTTCCGCGATGAACACTCCTCGTACAACGCACGCAGGGTCCTGTCGATGATAATGAAGCGGCAACTTGCTGTCTCGTCCTTTTTTTTAATTCTAGGTCGGCTCTCGGATCGAACATGTACACTTATTTGAAATTCGGCCTTCCCAGGGTGTTCCCTCCGAATCACAACGGGTCCAATCGCTCCGGCACGCCGCAGCATTTCACGAGGAACGCCTCCACGAGGCCCCACACCAGGTAACGTACCCATTCATAATTTAAAATGAATATTTCCTTTGCTCAACATTGTTTTATTTATCTAGCGGACACCATAGAATCTCCTAAATTATAAGAAATACAGAGTGGGATAAATCAATTGAAATAAAACATTTTATTGCCATGTGTCTAAACCCTAAATGGTTCATAAAGCAACCTCCTCGCGATACGGTCGTATTGGCTGGCAGAATTGGTTAAAAACTTACAAATAACTTCAAAATGACATAACTCGGTCAAAAACAATCGTAGGGACTTAATTTTATTTCAGATTGCTTGTTAGAAAGTGCAATTTACGATGGTATGTGTGTTATTTCCGAAAAAAAATCGGGGCAATCTAGATAACGCGTCAAGAAATCAAATTTTTTAAGAAAAAAAATTTCTTGAGATTTAACAGGACAAGGAAATGCGGCGTCAACTCACGTCCATTTCGCGTACATATTTTTTAAAGTACAGATAATTACCTACAAAATGAAATAAAGATCGCCTTGATACGACAAAAATTGACGGAGTTATGAGCATTAGAAAAGTAGCAAAATTTCGATGAAAAATTTTGTTGCAATAATTTTATTGCGAAGTGTATAAACGAGCGTTCAAATAAAAACGTGGTCAAGTTGGTTCTGAAAATTTGGACGTAGGGGGTAGCGTATAGCAAATGAACTTAAACGTCATCTGTCAAAGCGCTGTATCGCCGCTATCAATTTGAATATTTTCGTTTTAAACAGCGTTTAAAATGGTGTTTTCTCAAGAACAAAAAGTGTTTATCATAGAGTCCTACTTTAGAAATGGACGCAAGATTGATGGAATATGGAAGTATTCTATTGAGGAATGTTTCATAGATTTTCAAAATCAATTTCCCGGCGCTGTTGAGTACAAAATATTTCAGAGTGCAGTTCAGCGTTGTGTTAATGTTTTTCGTGAAACGGGCAGTGTAACAAGAAAAGAAGGAAGCGGCCGACCTAAAAAGCGGACTGAAGAATTAAAAGAAAATGTCCAACAAATAATGGAAAATGCGCCAAGAACTTCTGTACGTGTTTTATCACAAATGGTGGGAGTATCAGTCGGTACCTGCCACACAGTGTTAAAAAAAGATTTGCGTTTGTTCTCCTATCGTTTAACTTGTCAGCAAGTTGATTTTCCGCGACGGGCTGTATTTTGTGAATGGTTTTTAAACAACTACGGTGAACTTCATAATATCACCTTTTTTTCTGATGAAGCCTAGTTTCATTTAAGTGGTTACGTAAACTCACAGAATATGAGAATGTGGTCTTCTGAAAAACCAGATAACTTTTTTGTCGAGGGCCCTCTACACGCTCAAAAAATTGGAGTTTGGTGTGCTCTCAATCGAAGGGGGATTTATGGACCTATTTTTTTAATGGTACCCTTACTGCGCAAAGGTATAGAGAAGAAATTATCGCTCCTTTTGTTAACCAGCTGGAAGAAAACGAAATTACAAACTTTTACTTTCAACAAGATGGCGCAAGGGCACATACGGCAGGCGAGACGATGAATATGTTGAGGGTAGTTTTCCAAAATCGACTAATAAGTCTCAATGCGGAACATGAATTTCCACCGAGGTCATGTGATATTACGCCGTGTGATTTCTTTTTGTGGCCTTACCTGAAAAACACTATTTTTGAACTGCCTATTCCTGATTTAAACCATCTGCAGGCTCGACTTATAGACAAGATTCGTGAAATTAACAATACCCCGAGCATCTTAGAAAATGTCTTTAATTCTTTGAGGAACAGGTGTGAAAAGTGCTTGGAACAAGGAGGGGGACACTTTCAGCAGCTGCTTTAATTTATTGTTATAACAAGGAGGGGGACACTTTCCGCAGCTCCTTTAATTGTTTGTTATTGTTATCACGATTATTCTTTAAAATAAAGTCATTAACATTATTGAAATTGACAGCTGCTATACAGCTCGTTGAGAAATGAGGTTAAGTTGGTCGCTATAAGCTACTCCCTACGTCCAATGTGTTCAGAGCCAACTTCGACCACGTTTTTATTTGAACGCTCGTTATTTAGGAGTTCGTTAATTATTTTCTTGTTTTTCAGGAGCCTGAAACCAGGAAGCCGCGGCCCAAGGGACGGAAGCTCCGGATACGACAGTTCCGACAACGAGACGTCGAATCAGTACAAGAACAACCGGAAGTACCGCTCCGATCCAGATTTTAGAATGCAGAATATCCACCAGGCCTATCAAGGGGTAGGGCACCTTTTTGTTCACTTTCTCCCTATTAGCCTCGTAAACTGACCATACTTTGTTCTCGTGGGACATTTCGGTGTGCGTTTATACGCTTCATTTACCTTACCACTTGTGAGCACCTGTTACGGATACGAGGAAACGAAAACAATAGAAAACTTGATTTTTTTAAATGTGCTATTCTGTGACATGATTTATTTGCAGTTTTGCCACGTGTTTCGCTAATTTACACAATTTTCCCACTTTACGACATACGCGTCTGATACAGACTATTGTTAAAGAACTGTTTATTTCCACAGCATCACTAATTGAGGCAAGCATTTGTTGCTCGAAATTCCCGACACATTGTTTATCATACAACGTTCTGAATCTGATAATTTCGGTCTTTTACAACTACTCTGATTATCAGATTGGCCACAAACCTGCACCATGGGCGTAGCTGCGGGGAGCAGGGGTGTGCATGGCCCACCCCAGAAAAAAGATCTAAAATTATCGTCTATCACAGCGGCATATCGGTAAGTCGCTGATTGCGTGGCCTTTTTTTTAGAATGAAATCAAAACGTGTTCAGGTTTTTCAAATTTTATTCGACAAGTTGCTGATTGCGAAAGCTTTTTTTAGAGGCTCCATAGTACTTGCAGCCCTGGGCCCACCCCAGGCATTCTAACTACGCCCATGACCTGCACAAATAATTCCATTTTTAACAACACTTATTGGAATGGCAAAAATGTGAAGATAATACGTCTTTCTAACTTGTACGCTTATGACACGCACCGACACGCCTAGAAGATTTCTCGAAATAATTCTACACCGCTTTGCCTGATTTATGACAAGTTCGAGAAGGACATTTGACCTTAATGGCCCTGAATATAAAAATTAACTGACCACGTCTCCAAACGTCGCTATTTCAGAGTCCGGGGAGAAAAATTGTATTACCGTCGAAAAACAAGAGTTGCCTTTAAATAACCTTGAAGGTGACCTTCAAAACTAAATGAACCACGCAATCGAACATAAAATTGTTCGCTATTTCAAAATCCGGAGACAAAATATTGTATTGCCGTCGAAAAACAAGAGTTGACCTTCAAATAACCTTGAACGTGACCTTTAAAAATAAATCAACCACGCATCTGAACATAAAAGTGTTCGATATTTCAAAATCCGGAGACAAATATGGTATTGCCGTCGAAAAACAAGAGTTGACCTTCAAATAACCTTGAACGTGACCTAAATCAACTACGCATTCGAACATAAAATTTTTCGCTACTTCAGGATCCGGAGAGAAAAATTGTATTACCTTTAAAAAACAGGAGTTGACCTTCAAATAACCTTGAACGTGACCTTCAAAACTAAATCAACCTCGCATTCGAACATAAAATTGTTCGCTATTTCAAAGTCCGGAGACAAATATTATATTGCCGTCGAAAAACAAGAGTTGACCTTCAAATAACCTTGAACATGATCTTCAAAAATAAATCAACCACGCATCTGAACGTAAAATTGTTCGCTGATTCAGGATCCGGACACAGAAAATTGTATTACCGTTGTAAAACAAGAGTTGACCTTCAAATAACCTTGAACGTGACCTTCAAAACTAAATCGACCACGCATCGAAACAAAATTGTTCGCTATTTCAAAATCCGGAGACAAATATGGTATTGCCGTCGAAAAACAAGAGTTGACCTTCAAATAACCTTGAACGTGATCCTCAAAAATTATATTATCTTTAAAAAACAGGAGTTGACCTTCAAATAACCTTGATCATGATCTTCAAAAATAAATCAACGATGTGTCCGAATGTAAAAATATTCGCTGATATAGGATCCGGACACAAAAATTTTACCTTCGAAAAACAAACCTTGACCTTCAAATAACCTAGAGCGTGACCTTTAAAAATTAATCAGCCACGTATCCGAACGTAAAATTGTTCGCTGATTCAGAATCTGGACACAAAAATTTGATTACCGTGAAAAAGCAAGAGTTAACCTTCAAATAACCTTGGACAATAGCTAACTTTGTCAAACGGACGCCGATTCGGATTCATCGACCCCAAAACCGTGTGGGTATGATGGTTTAGTCTGTCACACAGTATTTTTTTTACTGTAGGGTTGTGTAATCGGTACTTAATTATATCATTCCATTCCACGTCAATTTTCCTACAGCGCTATGCGATTACGCAACGCTCTGTATCTGAAAAGCGCTGTACCGTGACTAAACATAGACTACATGGTTACACAATACAATATTCCTGCGAAAACGTACGATACTTGCAATTATCTACCCGCGGAGGGATTTCGAATCCCGTTACAGGCACTTTCGCATTAAAATACAATCCCGACCGCCGCCGGTAAGCCGTTATATTTTTCGCAGGGAAGCCCAGGCCTGCCTCTGGCCGCGATGCAGCAAGGAGGCATTCGACCGTCAAACCAATGGAACAGAAATAAAAGCATATCGGAAGCCAATTTGCTGGCAACAGAGTACAATAGATCGTACCATCATATGGATCCACATCCTCATCACCATTTAAGAGACCCCAGACGCAACAGCGTGGCTGAGTTCGGTCACCACCACGATGTCGTGGACCACAGGTGAGTGATTCAACCTTGTTTTATTTAATTTATATTGCGTAAATTATTGCTTAGTCCCTTTCAACTCGCAGCGTTTACCCAAACGTGCCTTGGAGGTGGTTTGGTTTATTCGTTTGTTACACATTAATTTCGTTGCTTCGCCGACAGATTTACATGCGTGCGTTGGGATGAATCGTATGTACACAAATATTAGATGTGCTTAATTAGTCTCTATAAAATACGAAACCCAATATATAGTTAAATGAATTAATTACGTGTTTACCTACCTTTCAGGGAAATCTGTGTGGCGATAATACATTTGGGGATCACGTATGTAATCCCCAAAATAAATAGTATGTTTGTATTTATTTAACATGAAACGTGGAAGTCAGTGTCTAAAAAAAAATTTCAAAGTTCAACTAGCGAAGCTAACAGTGGCGGCTGTGCGAGGGGCTCTGGAGCGGCGGCGGCATCCCCCCAGAGATTTTCATTCATTAAAAAGGAAATGTTAGTCAAATAACTCGATTAGCAAAATTCGTTTGAAAAATTGAATGTGTGGGCTCTTCGTACCTCGCTCCTACATGTGTAAAGTGTTTACAGCGGTGGTCATGGCTACCGTCGCGCAACAATGAAAGACGAAGTGGAAATTGCGCATTTTTTACTATACTGTTTAGGCACCAAATAATAGGTTTTCCGGCGTTTTCTTTTATTAAACGTAACGATGTACTTGAAATTTATATAGCGTATTACCCAGTGCTCTCTCTGTGCGTCATATTTTTTTGAATCTAGATTTTGAGATATTGTTGTTGAAAGTTGTTCATTTTAGGATAGGTTTATATGGCGAAGATGGACGGTGCGGCCCTTTTTTTGCACATAACTGAGAAAAAAAAAAGTAGAAATTGTGAAACAAAACTTTTCCATAGATAGTACACAGTATTATCTTATTTTTGATGTAACACTAATGTAAGTTTTGAACATAGTACAGCTGTATTAATTAGAAACATAAACCAATAATTGCATTTCTGTCTGACTTGAGGATTAATGTGTGCAACGTCGCAATCAGCTGACAGCAAGGAGGGAATACATTTGAAAGACTTGATAAAAACGAAATTGATTTCAAACACATTTTTTCTAAATCCCATGTACATTGTTATCAACAATAAATTATCCACAACAGATGATTTTTTGTAATGTTTTTAAAAAACTAGATTAATTAAAAAAAACTAGGAAGGTGTGATATATTTATTGGAATAAAAAATACAGTTGATAAATCCTTTTAATATATTGAATGGTTTATAGAAACATCCTAATCATTACCGAGCAATATTTAGAGTTACATCAAGTTTTCTTTACTTGGTTAATATAATTAGTAATACTTGAGATAAAAGCATTTGTACGGTATAACAAAGAAACATAAATATTTCTCAGCAAACTTTATATCTAAAAAATTAGTTATAGTTGCAAAACTTTTGTAACATTACTAAAAAGGGAGTAAAAACACGAACAGTGAGTAATAATGTAATTTCTATCACAGAACCTTCAAAATTGCATCCAACATTTTCTTCGACTTGGACGAGAGATGGGCGCGATTGTCATTTCCTTTTTTTAGAACTAAATTAACATAATTCTCGTTGTTTTACCAGTTCACATGATTTACGGATTTTAAATAAAGGATACAAATCTTCGCGAGAATAATACGATATATTTGCTATATACAGTGTAGGAAAGTACCGATGGTCTATCAGAAGTTACGTGAGAGCGATAAAGTAAGCCATAGAAATGGCTATAATGAAGGCGTCTAATAGTCAACGCCCATTTCGCCCTTCCACAAATAAGAAGTGGATCTTTAAAAAATAAATTAAAGGGTGGAAATTGGAGATAGGGGTGAAAAAGCAACCCTTACGGTTTTTCAAGTATATATCGAAACGAAGCAAAATTTGAGGGTCTTGCATAGGAAAAATTTTGTAGATTATGAGATTTTCTATCGAAATAGCTGTTTTAAAAAATTTTGAAAATTTATTTACTGCATAATATATTAAAAACAATTTAAAAAATGCAAAAAATTCAATTTTTTGTTTTTTTTTACTTTTATGCAAATAACTTTCTTCTGAGCAGAGATAGGTATAGGCATTGTTTCACAGAAAAAAAAAAGTATATAAAATTTCCTTCAGAACAAGAGGTTGTAGAGTATTTTCGGATGAAAATTGACTGATATATGGCCGCTCAAACATAGTCAATTTTTCTATTTTTGTCGCGTTTACCCTTATACGTTTTAATTCTCATTTTTTGCAAAAAAGGAAATAAATAAGACGTTCAAGGATTTTCATCACTTGACTTGTTCGAAGTGTCATTAAAAATGAAAAAACAGCTGGGTGCTATTAAATTAGAGGGTTGAAATAGGGGTGAAAATGAACTTTTGTAGTTTTTTAAATATAGCAAGAAAACGAAGCAAAATTTCGGTATAGTTCATAAGAAAAATTTTATAGAGATTGATTTTCCCATCGAAATGGCTTATTTAAAAAATTTAAAAGAAAAAATTTTTGCAAAAAATCGTTAATAAACCATTTTAAAGAAAGCAAAAAATATTTTTTTTTATTTTTTTCCTTTTTTAATAAAATAATTTAGTAAAAACTTGAGAATTTAAGTACAATAAAGTTTCTTAATAATGTATATATAGTGTGTTCACGTATGGAGTTGACAAGAGGAGAAACTCTTTTGTTTTTGACTGTATCGAAAAATGTCACTCTTTATAAAAAGTTCTGCCCCTCGAAAAAATGAGACTGTCATACAAACATCTTAGATTAGACATACAGGGTGCTCATAAATTAAACAAACACGAAAATACTCTTGAGAGAAGAACCATTATTTATTATTTTACACAACATTTTTATAAAACAATTCTGTTTATAACCTCAAATAATGTCCTAATACAAATTTTTTTCGATACATTCGGAACTAATAAGGCCGTTATAAAAAATGTGTGTAGAAAATAAGAACAAATCGGTGCAAACTCTATTTTATGTTCAAGAATAATTTAAAGAGGGACTATAGAGTAAATTTACTAACAATAATACGTTAAAATAGAATAAGTGATGTAGGTATATGAGGTTTACCATGTTACTCAGTCTGTATTATTTTTGAACATAAAATAAAATTTTTCTTATTTTCTGCACCATTTTTTATAACGGACTTATTTTAGTTCCTGATTCGACTTATTTTCAGGAATTATAACGTTTTTCTCGTCGAAGCGTACTAAAAAAACATGACTTTAGTGATGGATGTTTTCGTTCGAATTATGGTACGAGGGAAAGTTGCAAAATTGTCAGGAATCTCTTTTTCAACATAATGAACTGAAGCTTTATATTCGGGCTAATCTTTTAGAGAAAAATAACTTTTCTTTATAATATTTTCGCCAAGGGTTGAAAATAAAGGTACATTACTCTTGGGCCGACTTGCAGTTTTCATCTGCCCCTCGTATATAACAGACATTTTATGAGGTTCGATGGGCGCTATTTTTATTTGACGACATGCAGAGACAACTGACAATCGAAAAAATTTATTAAATTTATACATAAAGTTTTTCCCCATATGGTGCAAACTTTTTGGATAACACTGTATCTGCCTAATTTCAAATTATTTCACTTACTAGTTTTTAAAGTTTAACACCAGGTTTCATTTTTGGTCACCATTGTATAAATAAAAATTAACACATGACAATTCAGTTTTGATGTATAGTTCTTTTCATACTTATAGTAGACATAAAAAATATCAAAGCCTGCCAATAAGTGTGATAGGGGGAGAATGGAGCAACACAATTTTTAAATATCCGTAGAAAATAAATGTTATAACAGCTAATTTATTGCATAAATCATAATACTCTTATCAGGTACATTCTCCTAGATAAATTGAATACAAAATTAATGAGAAATAGTGATATTAATCAATAATTACATATCTTGTCACGTATTCAATTTAAATGTTGCTCCGCTTTACCCTAGATGGGCGGGATCTTGATTCGTCGACGTGGGCCCTGTGTTGCCGATTTGTAAAAATATTCCCTAAATGAATAATTGCTAAATTGAATGAAATTAATTTATTCAGATACTTACGTTTAAAATATTAAGCTATGCCCTGAAAATATAAGAATATGCTGAATTTGCATGCATTTATTTAAAGAATAATTGCATTATTCACTTCATTTTTGAAATGTATGTTGTCCATTTTTAATACAATACTAACTCGCCGAAACATTTGGCAACACAGCTGGGCTGGCAAGAAAACAGATTTTGACGATCTCTCTAAGACGTACGTTGTTCTCAAATTCCTAATGTGAGACAGAGACAATCAACAATTAGAAACGGTGAACTTATTACTTTAAATTTCTGATGGCTCAGTTTGCGCGGTACAGGGCAGGAGTTGGTGCTGCAATGCTGTGATTGTAATTTCTTAGATTAGAGTTTTGAGTAGTGAGATTTTTATTCAATTGCAGGTTTTTTATTGAGTAACTTTTGTAATTCACTGCAATTGTTTTTAATTTATAGCCATTGTGTCTGTGTGTATTGTGAATTGCTCGAAGGGAGACTTAAATATTATATTCTGTAAACTTTGCCTAAATACGACCCTGTTCTGCTAAACAGAGAAGTATTTACGATGCCGTTTTTGTAGTTATCGGCAATATAAAAGAGTTTTTTATTTCTACAATATGTATGAAAAGAACTTATACCTATAACCTCGCTTGATTAATTGCTTCATTTTAGCGTCTTAAGTCACATAAGCCGACCAATGTCCAAAGCGGAAAGTCATCTCTCAATACCGCAATCGAGAAGGGGGCCCTCGTCCGTTGTCCGCACCGATTACCTGAGCCAAGACGATGAACCGAGTCCTGCCTTTATGTATCCCCATTTACAGGTAAAATTGGACTTTTACAACCGCGCAAATACTTTAATTCCAATATGTTTTCCAGATATGTGGAGTTGGTGTTTGGCCGAGATCCCTGTCGTGCCTCTCATCGAACCAGCACCTCCTGCTCAACGAGATATCCTTCGAAATCCGCGGTGGCGAGATCATGGCGATTATGGCGACGTCCGAAGAGGAGGGAACCGCGCTGTTAGACGTAGTGGCCGGCGTGAAGGCGCCAGTGATCGGGAATGTTATTTTGAACGGGCAAAACGTTAGGCCGCAGAATTTAAAATCGAGGGTGGCTTACGTGCAAAGTGACCCCCATTTGTGTAAGGACATGACGGTGATACAGACTTTAAGGTTCCACTACGATCTCAAAAATCCCACGGACAAATTGGGGTACTTGAAAATCGATGCCATGGATAGGGTGAGTGAGTTATAATAGTGAACTGATACTGATTATAGGTGTCGTTAGATGGCGCTGTTACTTTTCCTGGAATTTGTATTAAATGAATGTTCTTATGTGTTTTGTCTATGGTACACTCAAAGATAATAGAAGGATTGTATTGCTGGTCATTAGACTAGGGGGTATCTGTTTTGGTTTGGGTGAATCGTATATCCACGGAGATTTTTGGCTTTCTGGCTTTCAAATATCACTAGGAATGAAAATTTTTCTATGCGCATAAAAAAAACGTGGGCTTAACTTTTGGCGGCACAATATGTTAAAAAAATTCGAAAAATGTCATATTTTTCTTCCTATTTAATTATGTATCTTTTCAAGAGTTGATTTTAGGCGAAAATGAAAAAGGAAAAAAATGTTTGTAATTAAATTTTTTACAAAACATGTCTAGTTACAAATCGAATGAATCATGTTTATTATGGTAGAAATCGAAAAAATCGCAAAAATGGGGTTAAAAAACAATACTTTTTAGGGAATTTTTTTAGGATATTTAAATTGGGTATAGGACCTTTATACTTGGCTCAAGAAAACTTCATGTTATGTAGAATCTTCACACCAAATTTCATCAAAATCGGTTCTATAGATTTTGCATAATAATTTTGCAATCCAGATTTTGAAAAAAAAAATTGAAAATTTTCAAAATTTTGCACAGCAAAAACCAAGGCCCTTAGATACTTGAAAATTTAATCACATATAGAAGGGCTCTCAAGCTTTCAAACTTTTTTTGAAAAATTCGAATCCGTCAATTAGGAGAGCTCTGGCGCTTGTTTAAACACTGGTCGAATGTTTGTACTTATAAACAATTAGAATAACTTTGTGAATATTCAATCACATCAAATTTTTTAAATCAGGTTTTAAAAGTTCTTGGAAAGACGCTTCTTTAAAAAATATACAGATCGATTGATCAATTAGTTACGTAGTTATAGCCGATCAAAATTAACCGTCATTTACACTAAATGTACTGGGCCATCCGGGCCAATTTTTCGAAAAATACCTTTAGTATTCCGAGTAAATACCAGGTCTAAGATTACAATACTTTTCTTCATTGGCAACCTACTTTAAAACGTGTTTAAAGTCATTTATGCAAGCGACAAATTCAAGAAAATGGTACGGGTGGTTGTGGTGGGGGAAGCAGAGAGCGCGACCGCTTCGGCCTGCTCGAAATTGAATCGGCGAGTTCAAAACCGCGATGCGCTTAAAAATTTTTAATATATCACCTCCTAGAGGTCCGATTTTGATGATTTTTTTTAATTTTAGCGTATTTTCAAATGCCTATCGTTAATAATTATTGGTCTTTCAACAGTCCGATAATTATTTATCTTTAAACTTTCTTTACTTATCAACTTTATTTTTCTATTGTATCAAAGGTAAGTGCATAAACTTATATACTGTTTATCAAAGATCAAAAACAAATTTATTTAAATATTCTAAAATTGTTTAAACAACAATTATTTTCAAAATATGTCGAAAATTAGTAATTAATTAATTAA